CACCTCGCGCCGCCTTGCACCCCCGCAACCGCTCTCCCCTCGCCCTGCCCTACCCCCGCCCTCGCCCTCCCCTCGCCGCTCGCACCGTCACGCCGAGCAAATCATGCGACGGGATCTTGAGCGGATCGGGAGGGTCGGCCTGTGGGACAAGCGACCGCTCAGCTTTCGGCGGGCGCTTCGGTGCGGCGGCGGAGCGACGGCGAGTGCGGAGAGGGGAAGCGGCCATGGTCGGGTGCGGGCTCCCGCGCCTGGAAGACAATCTTGTATGAGCTCGCCTGGAGAGGCGGGAAGGCGTCGGGCGTCACTCTGCGGCAGCCAGCCTCGTCCGGACGGGGCGCGTAGCGCGGGAGGGGCGATGGTCGAGGTGGCGTGAGCGCGCGGACGGCCGCGCCTGCATCGGGCCGACCAGAATGGAGTCAAGCTCCTGGTCGTGCTCGTCGCTCTCGGCAGACCCGACGTAGATGAGCTTCCACTCGATGTCCTCACTCAGCGGCGCGAGGCACTCGAAGCTCACCTCAAACTGCGGTGCGCACGCTCGCGCAGCGGCGTCAGCCGGGAAACGCGCAGCGGGCGCGCGGCGTGGGTGGCGAGGGCGCGCCTGGAAGTCGGAGAAGAACCTGGAAGGGTTGTTGAGCACCGACACGTTCGTGACGTTGATCATCGCCATCGTTACAGAAGTGGGGTAGGTGAGAATCGCCGGGCCGGGGCCGAAGACAGTTGGTGCGAAGGCGGCTGCCGCAGGCGCGGCGTATTTTTTCTTTTTTAGCAATGCTTAGGTCGCTCGTGCGTGTCGTCATCATCTGTCCAGCGTCCACCCATACCGCGTTGGTGTCCAGTCCGAGCCTGGCTGTTCTTCACCTTACTACCTACCTACCTACCTTAGGAAGCCAGAAAGGCTCGTCTCAGAGGGTTTGTTTAGGTTTGTTCTCAGAGGGTACCCTCTGTGCCAAGAGAGGCCATCAACGAGCGGCTCAGAGGGTGCCTGGGCCGACCCTCTGAAGGCCTGTGTGCCGCCAAGCCAGCCTCTCTCGGCGCAGCCTCTGAGGCTACGTACGGGGACCCTCTCTCTGAGACCGGCCAAGGCAAGCCCCGCGAGGCCGCTCCTCAGAGGGAGTTTTCAGCGGTATTTCAAGTCTGTCGTGATCCCCCACCAAGCACAGAGAGACCCCCCCTCCCGTGTGAGTGAGTGAGTATTCTTGATACGAAACCACGACGACACACACCAGTCGACTCGCATCGGTTGCCTCCATGAACGGCGGAGCTATTCTCGCGCCCACACCACACCTGGCTCCAACGTGTGGACACGCCCATAGCTGGGGACACTACAACTGTACTAGGTCACGCATGGCATCAGAAGTTTTATCTCTGGGCCCCGAAAGGCATCTCTAGCAGCGTCGTTACGCATGCGCCCTCCCCTCCTGGGCGCATGCGCCTCACGTCTCGCCAGAGCATACGCCCTTGGTGTGCGACGAGACGAGTTTTTCGCCATGCAGGAGCGAGCAGCAAGCCGCCCGCCGCAACAGCCGGAGGCATCGCCGCAGCACCAGCCGCGACACACACACACACACACACACACACACACACACACACACACACACACACACACACACACACACACACACACACACACACACACACACACACACACACACCACCCCACCCCCCCAGTTTCCATTTTTTCGGATACCTCATCCTCAAGTTCGAGCTCACGCGGACGCCGCGGCGCCTCATGGCCAAGCTGGAGCAGGGGACGGACGTGGAGATCACTACCTCCTCCTCGGGCGGCCACTTGGAGCACTTGGAGTGCAGTCGGTAACCTCACATCCAGGGCCGGGGAGCTAAGAAGCGCACCCAGCGGGCCGGATGATTGGCATCGGGTTACGGGCAAGAGAGACCTAGCCCTGGGGGGTGCGCGTTCGCAGGGAAAGGGCCGTAAAGTAAACACGGTCTCCGAGCAGGGTTGGCTCCGCGCTCCGGGTTTCCCCTAGCAGCAGACCGCCCCCTCTACTCGGAGCTATAATGGATACAAGAATACCCTCCGTCCGAGGGTTAGCCCCGTGTACCAGGTTTCCCCTTAACTGCAGAACGCCCCCTCTACTCGGAGCTAGTGATACGGGAATACGTACCGCCCCCGCGCGCAGTACCTGTACTACTCGACGATAATACAAGAATACGCAGCTTGCAGACGCCTATAAAGAAACAGCGAGGTAAAGTTTGGCGGCCACGATAAACCGAAAGTTCTCGTAAAACGCGGGCAAAGCAAAGCAAAGGACGGGCGCTTTTGCCGCAGCGATGCCCGCAGCCTTTCGAGCAGCTTCCACGGCGCCCACACGCGCCGCGGGGTTGACTGACAGCCGCGCCTCTCGAGCCTCCCGTGCCACGCGCGGCGATGCGCACCCGCGCGCCAGTCAGCGCACTGGCAGTACTGCATCAGCCAGCACAGCGTAGAGCAGTGCTGAGGTTCAACGCTCAAGCTCAGGCGCCTCCCCTTGTTGTCGCAGCTTTGCGCAGTGCAGCGTGCGAGCAGCGCAGCGCCAGGCCGACCCCTGGCACGCCCGGGCGGCTGTGGGACGGAGGCCCGCCGGGCGAGTGCGAGCCGCATAGGCAGCGTTGCGCAGGATTTGCGAAACTTTCTCTCCTCCAACCACTCCAACACATCCTCAGTTTGACAGGTCGGCGCCGCGGGCCGCGCGAAGCTGTCGTGCAGGGCTCGGCGCGGGCGCTGTGGGCGAGCCTGCAGCAGCAGTAAGCTGTGTGGTGCCGGGCGCTCGAGCATAGAGTAGCGCCTTATAGTCATGCTCGCTGCTTAAAGTCATACATGTTTTACTGCCGCCCCTCCCCGCCCTCACTGGTCAGCGCCGTTCGTGGAGGGCTAGGCAGCTCCGGCCTCCGCCCTGGGCTCTCGCCTCTGCCGTGAGGGGGCTACCCTCTCAGGTCACGAAAAAGCCCTCTGTGCCGCGCCCCAAGAGACAGTAGACCCTCGGCCAGGGACCCTCCTGAGGCCAAAATCAGCCAAGAGAGGCCACAGAGGCGGCACAGAGTCAGAGTCAAACCCTCTGTGCCTCCAAGCCAGGGGTCCGACCCGTCCTCAGAGGGGGGGGTCTGGGGCGCCTCACACAGAGAGCGCGGAGGTATAACCCGGTCCCGCCCCCCCTAGAAGTCTTGCGTCCCGCACCCATACCGCGCGCTGCCGCGCGGATGTGGTCCCACCAGTCGTTGCACGTTGGTTTGACTGTGTTTCACCTTCGATACATACATACTCCAAAGTATTTAAGAACCGCGAAGGTGGCAATGCTCGACGGCGTCAGGATGTCAGGAACACCCCCGACGCGGAACCCCGAGGGCCGGACGGTGCAGCGGGCACACACAGGCCACAAAAATTTGCCGATCCTCCCAGCTCGTTGCACGCGTCGCCAGCCTAGGCCCGGGCGCACCCCCATGAGAATTGGGTCTGCAGGCTCGGCGCCACGGGGCGAGGAGCGCAGCAGAGGCAGCTCGACGGGAAAAAGTCGGCGCTCATGCCCGGAAAGAGCCAGGCGCGGAAGGGGTCGAAGGTGAGCGGCGCCTCGTTGCGGTCGCACTTTGGGTCGGCGCCGGCGCCGACCCCCCATGCGGTGTGGTTGATCCGGATGGGCAGCGGCAGTGCCGCCGTCAGGCGGTGGCGACCCTCGTCGTGGGTGTGCACGAATGGTGGCATTTGGACGAGGTTGAAAGCATACCTGTTCGGCAGAGCCCCGGCGCCGCCGGGAGGCATGTCGATCTGGACCTGCTGCAGCGCCTCCTCGTAGCCCTGCAGGTCCGTGCGCAAGCGCTGCGAAATCTCATCCACGCCTCGAGCCACGCCGAAGGCGCTCAGGGCCTCGAGCAGAAATGCTCTTGCCCGCAGAGTCACGATGGCAGTGTGCGCTCGCCACACTGCGCACATCGCACCAGCTGGGTCTGCGGGCGCCGAATGCTCGCGAACGTAGGTGAGCAGTGCCGATGCGGTGGCCGGGCGAAACGCGGACCCACCCATGTGCGCTGCAAGGTCGGCTCGTTCGCTAGCCGAGATCGCCTCGGCCCCGACATAGAGCCTTGCTGAGCCGGAGCCCTCCGCTGACGGCGCAAGCAGCGAACGCATCATCCGGGTGTGCATCGCCTCGACCTCGTTGTAGATGTGCCTACAATGGACGGAACGCCCTCGCGCAAGGGTGGGACGAGTAGTGCTGCCACCCTTCCCTTCCCAAATCGCGCCCATAGTCAGCCGACGCCGCGCCATGAGCCGCTCGCGTCAGCTGCCCAGCGACAGCTTCAGCCGCAGCAAGTACCTCACGACGCGTAGCCTCCTCGCTGTCGAGTGGGGGGCCTGGCGCATGGGGCCATGGTCCGCCTCGCGGGGTGAGACTCGTGCGTGGCCGCGCCACTAATAGGGCTACTCTCATCGCACCGAGTCTCTCGAAAGCCCCATTGCGTACGAGAGGGAGCACATCGCCGAGCATGAAGGCCTCTGCAGTGAACCCCGCCGCGGCGCGGAGCGTCGTGCCTGCAACATCCACTGCAGGCTTACGGCCACAGGATAGGGGGAGCAAGAGCCAGCATCAAGCAAGCCCACCGATGAGAGCCAAGGATACCCCGGCCACCAAGCCGCCCGGAGCCGGGATGGCGAGAGAAGGAAGCGTCGCCAATGCCGACGCGGTGCTGCCGATCGCTTGCAGAGAGGGGCTGTATTCCGTACACCCCTCTCTTTCCGGACTGCACTGGATGGCGGAGAGGCTCTCCAGACTGCGGAGGCCATTGGGCATCGCGTCTTGATACCTAGCATTGCCAATGGGCGTCGGGTGCGATTGTCGTGGCGGCGTGAGCTTTGTCCACACGTCACACACACTTGTGCCAGTCAGGCTCACGACGCCATTCTCCCGCAGTGAAAGGGGCGTTCTTCTCCAGGATTGCAGCCGCACTGTCGTCCGTCACCTGCGTCAACATATGACCGTTTGGGGTCCCATCGTGTGTGGCAGGCGTGGCCCATCATACTCCGCACCTCAAAGGTTGGCGCAGCTCCGACGATAATCGTAGAGCCGAGGAGCAGACCAATGAGACCCATTGGTGAAAGCGGGGCGGCAGCGCCAAGCCCAAGGGTCGGTTGAGCACCCTTCCTAGTGGCCTACCGGGACCTTCCCCCGTCTTTTACTTTCCGGCGGTAAATAAACAAAAAAATCGAATGAGGTGGATTCAGGGACATGCACATGCACATGCAACATGTCCCCGCCCTGCACGATCTTGGTGTGAGGGATCTTCAATCCGTCCCCTCACCCTTCGTCACAAGACACAACCCCAAACAGAAGAGCGGGCCCGCGGCCCCGGCCGTGTGTGTTGTGATCAACGTGTGTCCGGCACGAGACAAGGGGAGGGACGGGGCGAGAGCTCCTTCCAGTGGCACATATATGTGTGCATATAAGTAGACGGGAACGAGTGGAGAGAGGACAGAGGTAATGTTAATATATTTATATGAATGCGAATTGGCAAAGGCTAAGGGACATGCATCCGATATTCCTGTTACGCTGTTTGCCCTATTTCGTATTTGCCGCGCTCGGCTCTATCTCTCGCTCTGATCGTTGACGAAATAGACGCGCTCACAACGCGCGCACCACACATGAAAACACAAGCGACAAGGGGACACGTCACTGCGCGCGCCGCGGGAGCGTGGAAACGCGCGTCTATCTCTTCACACCTATGGCGTCGGCGGAGGGTGCGCCGCCGTCTCGGCCTCTCGCGTGCGCGCACGCACGCTGGCTGGCGTCCAGCTCGCCTCAGAGCGAGCCAGCGCGCGGCGGGGCCCTCTCGCCTGGCACGCCACGACGCTGCGACCGACCCACGGCGGCCCGCCTCCGCCACCTCTGCCCCCCCCCACCGGCTCGGCGCTCCGGGCGGTCGCCTCAGAGCGGGATGTTGGAGTGCTTCTTCCACGGCCGCTGCACCTGCTTGTCGCGGAGCAGCTCGAGGTCCTCGCAGATGCGGGTGCGCGTCTCGCTCGGCGAGATGACCGCGTCGACGAAGCCGCGCTGCGCGGCGACGAGCGGGTTCGCAAACTTGGCCTCGTACCGCAGGGTCTCCTCCTCGACGTTCTTGCCGCGAAAGATGATCTCGACCGCGCCCTTGGCGCCCATCACGGCAACCTCGGCCGACGGCCACGCGTAGTTGACGTCGGCGCGCAGGTGCTTTGAGGACATGACGTCGTACGCGCCGCCGTACGCCTTGCGCGTGATGACCGTCACCTTGGGCACCGTCGCCTCGGCGTACGCGAAGAGGAGCTTCGCGCCGTGCCGGATGATGCCGCCGTGCTCCTGAGCGCGGCCGGGCAGGAAGCCGGGCACCTGTGCGTCGGGGGCCGGAGAGGTCGGGGGAGGGTCCGGGGAGGGTCCGCGTGGCACGGAGGCGGGGGCACGTCGACGAATGTGAGGAGCGGGATGTTGAAGCAGTCGCAGAAGCGGACGAAGCGGGCAGCCTTGGCCGAGGCGTCGATGTCGAGGCAGCCCGCCAGCTCCTGCGGCTGGTTCGCGACGATGCCGACCGTCGCCCCCTCCATCCGCCCAAAGCCGGTGATGATGTTCTTCGCGTAGCTGGGCGAGACCTGCGCGCACACGCCGCGAGTCAGTTCTCGAGTCTCGAGAGAAAGCAGCCACGCCAGTCGAGGGGGAGGCCTCGAGCAGCTCGCGGTCATCGAGCACGCGCCGCACCAGCGCGCCCATGTCGTACGGCACGTTGGGATCCTATTCACAGCGGCAGGTGTGAAGAGACGCTGTTCACAGCTCCGCCCATGTCGTACGGCACGGCGGGATCCTCGGGGACAATCCGGTCGAGCGCCGAGTCTTGGCGCGGGGAGGGCGACGGTGAGGGGCGGGGAGGCGGAGGCTGAGCGGTCGCGAGGGGAGGGGCGGGCAAAGGAGAGGGGCGGGCAAGGGGAGTGGCGGGCGGGTGGGAGCGAGGCGCGGCAGGGAGGGGAGAGGCGGCGAGATGCGGAGAGGCGGCGGGATGCGGAGAGGCGGCGGCGAGGAGCGGCGGTGGGAGTGAGGCTCGCCTTTGCGCGCGCGCGAGTCCTCCGTCTCGCGAACCTGCGGGGCGAGGAGCAGGGTGAAGAAGGGCGGGGCGAGGAGCAGGGTGAAGAAGGGCGGGGCGAGGAGCAGGGTGAAGAAGGGGACAGGGGCGCGACAGGGGGCACGCCACCGGGCGTGTGTGCGTCCCGGGCGCCAGTGGGGCGGGTCGAGACGCCCTGGGCGGCGGCGAGGCGGGCCGTGGACGGCGGCGCGGCGGGAAAGGGTCACGGGGAGCATAGGGTCACGGGGAGCGTCTCGGAAAGTCGCACCGGCGGAGGCTCGCGGTTGGAGGAGGGGAGGAAGCCGACCAGACGGCGGAGAGCGGACATGGCCTCGAGGTCGTTGGCGGCGGAGAGGTGCGCCACGCCCGACGTGCGCGTGTGCGTGCGCGAGCCGCCCAGCTCCTCCGCCGTGATGACCTCGTTGGTGACTGTCTTGACAACCTCGGGGCCCGTCACAAACATGTACGACGTGTGGTCAACCATCATCGTGAAGTCGGTCATGGCGGGCGAGTAGACGGCGCCGCCCGCGCACGGCCCCATGATTACCGAGAGCTGCGGCACCACCCCCGACGCCTCCACGTTCCGCTGGAAGACCTCGGCGTACCCGGCGAGCGACGCGATCCCTTCTTGGATCCGCGCGCCGCCAGAGTCGTTGAGCCCGATGACGGGCGCGCCGACGAGCATCGCCTGGTCCATGACCTTGCAGATCTTCTCCGCGTGCGACTCCGACAGCGACCCGCCGAACACTGTGAAGTCCTGCGAAAATACAAACACCCGCCGGCCGTCGACGAGGCCGTGGCCCGTCACGACGCCGTCGCCCGGCGGCACCTGCTCCTGCATGCCAAAGTCGATGCAGCGGTGCGCCTTGAGCGCGTCGTACTCGCGGAAGCTGCCCGGGTCGAGGAACAGCTCCAGCCGCTCGCGCGCCGTCAGCTTGCCGCGGTTGTGCTGCGACGCGATCCGCTGCTCGCCGCCGCCAAGCTGCGACGCGAGCACCTGCTCCTCGAGGCGCCGCCGGACGGAGGCCGCCTTAGCGAGGTGCGGCGGCGCCGCCAGCGCAGCGTTCGACGAGCTGCTCCGCGCGAAGAGGCGCACGGAGCGGGCCAGTCCAGCCATTGATGAGAGATGTGTGTGCTCCGTGCCCAAGTCGGCGCGTGTTGGAAGAAATCCTCGGCACATAACGAAACCTAGCGCCTCGTTTTCTTTCTTTCTATCTTTAGCGCAAGGCACTTCTCGTGCTCCAAGTGCGAGCTGCGAGGTTAGGTCTGGCTGTGTTTCTCCCCATCCCTTGGACGCCCATCCATCCTTTTTTTCTGTTAGACGACATGGAGGAGGGGAAGGGATGCCCCGCAGCATCCGAGGGAGGCAGGCTGCGCACGAAACGGCTGGAGGCGATTCGAGGAGGCGATACGGAGGGCAAGCGCTTCTCTCTCTCTCGCACGCGCTGCCCCACCAAAGCCTCGACAATCATCTCTCGACATATATGTGTTGATGAGAGCTCCGTGCCCAAGTCGGCGCGTGTTGGAAAAAAGAAATTCGACCCGCCTGGCTAGCTAGCTTATCGGAGGGCGCTTGGGTCTAAATTTAGTGCGTGTGAATGAACTTTAGTGATAGTTTAGTGCGCTATTTAGTGCGTGCTCGAGTGCGTATATAGTGCGACTTTAACTCTCTCTCTCGCAAATTTAGCGCAAAATTAGCGCAAATTTAGCGCAAATTTAGCACATATTTAGCACATATTTAGTGTGTTTTATCTCCAATTTAGCGCCACATTTAGTTCACTTTAGGTGCGGGCAGCTGCAGTACATTTAGTGTGGGTCCCACATCTTTAGTGCGAAAAATGACGTGTGAGTGTTAGAGTTGTTTGGTATTGCTAAAAATCTCTCTCTTAGTGCGGGCACGCATCTTTAGCACAGCTTCCCAGCCACACCACAGCTAGCCAGGGCCGCGTGCTTTGCTCCTTGGCTGCCAAGAATGCACCACAGGAGATGCCTGCAGCCTGGCCCCTGCCCTCTGACCCAAAGGCAGGCTCCCAGTGAGGCTAGATATGCAGCCCTCCAGAGCAAGATCTCCCGACTGAGCACAGGCACATAACCGATTCCCGAGAGGAGGACCAGCACAGTTGAATGCGCCACCGCAAGCACCACCTCCGACCGCACAACCCATGCTGTGCCCGTGACCACCAGCTGTATAGAGTAGAGGTGAGGGTCGGTCTTGGACTGGTCTTGGAATTTCAAAGCCAATGTTGAACCAAAGGATGAAGGATCCAGACCACGGTTGGGGATGGGACGGGGAACTTTTGAGAGAGAGAGAGATTTTTAGCAATACCAAACAACTCTAACACTCACACGAGTTTGTGTTAACTTTTGCGAATGGGCAGGGACCAGGGAACTGCAGGGCCGGAGGGAGGCCCAGCGAGGGTCTGCGGCTGGATCCTACTGCACGGCTGGACTAACTAAAGACGCACTAAACCTCGCTAAATCTGGATGTAAAGTCGCAAGTGAACTCGCGCTAAATTTGCGCTAAATTTGCGCTAAATTTGAGAGAGAGAAATAAATTTGCGCTAAATTCGCGCTAAATTTGCGCTAAGTTTGCGTTAAAGTGCGCTAAATATGCTAAACACTTCACACGCACTAAATTTAGACCCCCAAGCGCCCTCCCTTATCCTCCGCGGACTCCGATGGAGAGAAGAATTCTTAAAATACAAGCCTCTCTCACAGCACACTGGCACGCACACACACCGGCTCACCACCGGCTGAAGAGAATCACCGGCCCTTTGAAATCTGTGCGAGGACCCCTGCGGGCACCTTCGGGACGCCGTCGCGAGCGGCAGCTCATCTCGTGCACGATGCTGGCCTTCTCCCTCTCGTCGTCCGTCGCCCTCAACCTCTTCGGCGGCAAGAAGCCAGGCCGAGGCACGCTTTACTCGGACATCACGCAGACGATTGGCAATAGTGAGAGCCGGCCCGCCCCGCCTGCGCCGTCGCCACCGCCCTCTCGCCGCCTCCATCACCGCATCCTCGCCGCCGCCGCCGCCGCCGCCCTCGCCAGCCAGCCCCGCCACGGTACGGCCGCGGCGCCTCCCCTCACCCGGCTGTCGCCCGCCGCCCCGCTCAGCGCCGGTCGTCAAGATCTCGGACAAGCTCAACCCGTACCCGGTCGACGTGTACGCCAAGTGCGAGTTCTTCAACCCGCTCGCGTCGGTCAAGGACCGCCTCGCCCTAGCCATCATCCAGGACGCCGAGGAGCGCGGCGCGCTCAAGCCGGGCGACACCGTCGTTGAGGCGAGCCGTTCCGGAAAAGCTTCCAGACCCGCACACCGCCGCCACACCGCCTCCCCCTTACCGCCAGGCGACGTCTGGGAACACCGGCATCGCCGTCGCGATGGTGTGCGCGCAGCGCGGGTACGACTGCGTCATCTGCATGGCCGAGCCCTTCTCGGTCGAGCGGCGCCGGCTGATGCGCATGCTTGGCGCCAAGGTGAGACCTGCTCGTCAGCCTTGTCCGGGCCGCGTGTCGGCGCCGGACCCGGTCTCGTGTCCCTCAGGTGATCGTCACGCCCAAGGCGGGCAAGGGGACCGGCATGGTGCGCAAGGCGGAGGAGCTCTGCGCCAAGCACGGCTGGTTCCTGTGCCACCAGTTTGAGAACGAGGCCAACTGGAAGTTCCACGAGGCGACCACCGGGCCCGAGATCCTCACCGACTTCAGCGGCAAGAAGCTCGACTACTGGGTCACGGGCTACGGCACGGGAGGCACCTTCAACGGCGCCGGACGCGCGCTCAAAAAGGCGCGCGCCGCCGCCGCGCCCCTTTGTTCATGTCCCCTTTGTCCATGACCCGGCCGATGAGCCGTCCCGATGAGCCGCCGACGACCCGCCGCGCAGGAGCGGCCCGACCTCAAGATCATCCTCGCCGAGCCGGAGGACGCCGGCCTGCTCGCGAGTGGCATCCCGACCGAGCGGCTCGCCGACGGCGCCCCCGCCGGGTCGCACCCCGCCTTCAAGCCGCACCCGATCCAGGGCTGGACGCCGGACTTCATCCCCAAGGTGCTCGACGATGCGCCCGACCAGCTCAACGACGAGCTGGTGCCCATCCCCGCCGCCTCGGCCATCGCCACCGCCAAGGCGCTCGCCGCCAAGGAGGGGCTCCTCACGGGCATCTCGGGCGGCGGCACGATGTGGGCGGCGCTGGAGACGGCCAAGACGGCGCCTGAGGGGTCGGTCATCCTCGCCATGCTGCCCGACACGGGCGAGCGCTACCTCTCCACGCCGCTCTTCGCCGACATCGAGGCGGACATGAACGAGGAGGAGCTCGAGATCGCAACCTCGACGCCCTCCTTCCAGCTCGTGCCCGGCAAGGAGCCCGTCCTCGCCGCCTGAGCGACGTCGCCCCTCCTCTCCTCTGGGCGGCTCCGACGAGCTGCCCGCCCGCGCGCGACGAGCATGCATGCTACTTGCTACAGGGATAAACACGCCGATGACCACCGGACCCCGGCTCGCGGAGCACGGACCGGCGCCCCCGCGGTCGATAGAGTTCAGGCTTTTAGGAGAGCCGAGAGATACGCGGTGGTACCGGCTTTACGCGAAGGACGGGACACTCATACTATCGTGTTTTTACATACACAATATTCATACGGGCACGTTACTTATTTGCCTTGGACATACCCGCCACGAAGCCCGCTCTCTTCTTCTCCTCGATCTGCACGGGCTGGTCTCCCTCGCCCACCGCCACCGCCGCCTCCTTCTTGGCGAACCCCAACCTGCCGGCGCGGGGGCGGCGTGTTGAACCGCGCGCGGCGGGGCGCTCTGGGCAGCGCGGCGAGCGCGCCGCTCGAGCTCCTCCGGCGCCATGAGCTTCCTGTCCATCCGGCACTGCAGGTAGGACGCCGACAGGTCCCGGCATGCGTCAATCTGCGGCGCGCGGCGTGGGTCGCAGGTGTGGGCGGAGGCGCGCAGCTGCAGCGAGCCGGGCGGCGGGCCTGCATGCTGTGCTGCTTCAGGCAGCCCATGTACTCCGACTTGAGCTCCGAGCACTCTCGGAAGTGGTCGAGTGGGAAGCTTCCCTTGTCTGGAGGCTTCGGGGGCAGGCCCTTGGCGGGCAGAGACGCGAAGGACGCCATGGGCGGCGGAAGGTGGCAAGATCGGCTGCGGTTGGGCGGAGCACGTCTTCAAGGTGGTTGTGTTATGGCGATCAGTCGTCGATACTCGCGCGAGGAGGGCTCACCGACAAAACAATTCGCACCCTACAAAAAATTCCTGACAGCAAATCTCTCTCTCCTCTCTCTCTCTCTCTCTCTCTCTCTCTCTCTCTCTCTCTCTCTCTCTCTCTCTCTCTCTCTCTCTCTCTCTCTCTCTCTCTAGATGAGAGCGCGTACGGGGCCAACAGTTTTTGCTTTCTTCTCGTTAACGCGCGAGCGGCGAGGGGACAGCACCAAAGAATTCCGATTTGCCAGAGCCTGAAGAAAAAATAGGCGACTTCGGTTTCTTCTCGTTCACAAAAGGACGCGGGCGGGTGGCATATAACAGGCGCGCAGCGCCGCAATCTCCCCCAAGGAGGTGTGGAGATTGCCCCTTCGCGCCGCAACGCACCTCCGTGCGGCAGGTGTTTCGTCTCGTCGTCATGATGTTCCGCGCCGTCCTTGCTGCGCTCGCTGTCCTGCCGTGTGCCGCCTACTTTGAGGTGGATACGTCGCTGGACGCTGACAAGGGGATGTGCCCGTTTGCCTATCCCGACTACGAGGTGGAGGAGCAGGACATGTCGACGGAGGATGCCGACAAGCTCTTTTCGTGCAACGCGCCCCTCTCCGCCGAGGAGGCGAAGGTGGTCAGTGCAGCCATGCAGAGCGGCATGCCCTCCACGGCGGCGACCTCCGAGGTCTGCTTCCTCCGCGGCTGCTGGTACGCGGAGCACGTCACTATGAGCGCGACCGTCTCGATCCCAAAGGGCGAGCTCATGCACAACGGCTTCCCGCACCGCTCGACCTTTGAGCTCCTCGGCCTGACCGGCACCAACGTGACGGGGCTATGCTTCCCCCCTGCCTTTGCCTCGGGCGGCGGCTACCTCTGCGTCGTCGACCGGCCAGACAAGTCGTCTGCTCGCCGCGAGCTCGCGGCCAACGCGGGCGCGAGCCAGTGGGTGCTCCACGCTGGCTACAGCCCGAGCCCCAACACTGTCTTCCTGCAGCCACTCGTCGCGGAGAGCAACCTCAAGGTGTACATGCTGACGGCGGGCGGGGTCTTGCTCGTGCTTGTCGCCGTCGGCCTGCTGGTGGGCGGCAAGGGCCACCCGGGCGTGCCGCAAATCTGAGGGCGGAACGGCGGCGTCACTCTCGAGCGGCGTCACCTGGCGGTAGTGTGCCAGCGACGCAAAGCGCATGACGCGGAGGATGAGCCTGCGGGGCAGCGGGGGCTCCAAGCGGCTCCGCTCCGCAGCCATGACTCGAACGGAGCTGCGGCAGACGGCGCCTCGAGGTCCACGAAGGAAGTCGGGGATGGCATCGCCGTTTCTTGGGGGAAGCTAGAGAGAGAGAGAATTCTTGATACGAAACCACGACGACACACACCAGTCGACTCGCATCGGTTGCCTCCATGAACGGCGGAGCTATTCTCGCGCCCACACCACACCTGGCTCCAACGTGGACACGCCCATAGCTGGGGACACTACTAGGTCACGCATGGCATCACAGAAGTTTTATCTCTGGGCCCCGAAAGGCATCTCTAGCAGTGTCGTTACGCATGCCCCCTCCCATCCTGGGCGCATGCGCCTCACGTCTCGCCAGAGCATAAGCCCTTGGCGTGTGGCGAGACGAGTTTTTCGCCATGCAGCGAGCAGCAAGCCGCCCACCACAAACAGCCGGAGGCATCGCCACGGCACTGGCTGCGCCGCGCTCCCGCACCCGTCGACGAAGCTCCCCCCGCGGAAGACCGCGCGTAGCGACGCCTTGACGATCGAGATGAGCGCGCTCGAGGCTCGCCCACCTACTGCCCCTGAGAGTTGGTTACTGAGTGGGATCAGCTCCCCCCCTTGGGATCGAAGCCGCCACAACCTCACACCCAACATCTCAGGCGGGATCAGAAGGGGACTCCACACCGGACACCGCCCGGGCACAGCCCCCCTACCCGTCGGATCGCACAGGGCCCCCTAGGAGCAGCCCACCCACAATCTCGCATCGGCAGATTGCGCCTGAGTCAGGCAGACAGCAGACAAGGAAAGGAGAGAGGAGAGAGAGAGAGAGAGGAGAGAGGAGAGGGTGAGGGAGTGTGCACACGTGTGTAGAGCAGGGAGGGTGTCTGTGGTGGGCTATAGTCATACTACGTGGTTACAACCACGCGCCCCTCAGGAGCTTAAGGTAGAGCTGAGCGTCCAAGACGCCTCGGTCTCTCTCTCTCTCTCTCTCTCTCTCTCTCTCTCTCGGGAAGCTAGAATAGCAAAAAGTGAACTGATGCGCGAATTCTTCTTTGAAGATCCCTCACACCAAGATCGTGCAGGGCGGGGACACATGTCCCTAAATCCCATCTCGTCTCAGAGTCTGCGCGTGTTATTTTTATTTATTTCTTCTCGAACCTTTTGCGCGGCAGCGGAGCCCTTGTAGCTCCGCCTGAGCCTCGTGAGTCGGCATACGCAGAGCACACACATGGTGCTTTTGCCGACCCGCGGTCACGGCCCTCTCACGCTCGCTCCGAACGTCGAGGTGGAGCGGCTGGGTTTCGGCACATGGGCGTGGGGCAACAAGCTGCTCTGGGGCTACGACGAGGCCGCCGACCCCGTGTTGGAGGCTGCATTCCGCCGTGCCGTGGCCGGCGCACCGCTCGTCGACCGGCGGCGCTTCTTCTTCGACACGGGCGACTCCTACGGGACGGGCGCGCGCGAGGGCCGCGCCGAGTCGTTGCTGGGCCGCTTTCGACGCGAAGCCCGAGCGCGGCGGCGCGTCGCCATCGGCACAAAGCTGGCCGTCTACCCTTGGCGCCTACGAGGCGAGGACTTTGAGGATGCGTGCCGCGCGTCGCTGCGCCGGATGGGCGAGTCGCGCATGGAGCTTGTGCAGGCGCATTGGTCGGCGGCCAACTTCCAGCCGTGGCAGGAGCCGGCGCTATGGGACGGGCTCGCGCGCTGCTATGAGGCGGGGCTCGCGGGCGCCGTTGGCACGTCCAACTTCGGACCGAAGCAGCTGCGCAAGGCGAACGCGCATTGGGCCTCGCGCGGCGTGCCGCACAGTGCGAACCAGGCGCAGCTCCACGTGACGCAGGGCTAGTCTCGGCTGATCTCGGCTCATCTTGGGCTGATCTCGGATCATCTCGGCTCATCTGGGCTGATCTCGGCTCAGGTGCAACTCAGCCTGCTCTCGACGCTGCCGCTCGAGTCCGGCCTCCTCGAGGCTAGCAGCGAGCTGGGCGTGACTCCGATCGGCTACTCTCCCCTCGCGCTGGGGCTGCTCTCAGGCAAGTACGACGCCGACAGTGTGCCCGCAGGCCCCCGCGGCGTGCTCTTTCGCCAGCTGGCGCCGGGGCTCGCACCGCTGCTTGACACTCTCCGCGAGGTGAGCCGCGCGCGCGGCAAGAGCGTCTCTCAGGTGGCCATCAATTGGGTCATGTGCCAGGGCGCCGTGGTCATCGTCGGGATCCGAACGCCCGAGCAGGCGGCGGACAACCTGGGCGCCCTCGGCTGGCGGCTGAGCAAGGCGGAGCAGGACGCGCTCACCGAGGAGGCGCGGCGCGTGCCGAAGAAGGCGACGCAAAACATCTTCCAGACCGCCTGACGCGCCACAATATTGGAGAGCGCCCCCCTACATCGGTCTCGTCTCCCAGTAGAGCGTTTTTTTACCGGAGATCGACCGAGAGTATACGTAGTAACTAGAGTATCATCATCTTCGGGAAGTGAGGAACAAGACGACGCCCGGTGATATCAATATTAGTACCGCTACCGGTTCGCGGGTCCCCCCGCCCCCTCTCAAAAATAAGTTTTTTTTTCAAATGAGCTCCGCTCTCTCAAAAGAACCCTGCACAAAGATCGCACGGGCGGGGACCTGTTCCTTTTTACCCATCTCACAGTAGAGGTGTCCGTAAAAATTTATTTATTCCGCTCTCTCAAGTCTCATCGCATGGAGGACCCGTCGCCAGACGACGCAGGGCAGACGTGACGGGGAGGCAGAGCAGACGCGCAGGGCGAGATGAGGGAGGGAGCAGGACGTCGCGGAGATCAGCAGGAGGATGTACGAAGAGATTAAGAGTAGCAGGGACCCGAGGGACCATGTGGAAGACGGCTAGTGCTACGAGTCCCCCCCGCGTCGCCGGGAGGACGACCCCGGCTAGTCGTCGACCACACCCACAAAGAACCCTGCACAAAGATCGCACGGGCGGGGACCTGTTCCTTTTGCCCATCTCAAAGTAGGGGTGTCCGTTTTTATTTATTAATTTCTCTGTCTCTCGGCGCCTCCCCCCGATGAGGATCCATCTTTTTTTTCTTCCGTCACACTGTCGTCTTTCTCGTCTTCCTCCTCTCGGTTTCAACACTCAAGTGTAACCCGCTGCGTCACAAATGCGCTCGAACAGTGATAATATCAGTGATCTCTGTCTTGTCTTAGCCTGGTCACAGCAAATTCCAAATTCAGGCACGCTCAAGTCTCACTTCGTTGTCTCATCAATGACTCTACTTCAGGCAGCTGTCCCCCTATCAACACACCAGTGAGGGAGGGCGAGACGATCGAGAGGGGTCCCGTACCATGCGGAATCGGCCCTATCCAATGCTCAAGTGCGCCTCAGCTGTCTGGTAGACACTGTCTCTTCTCGGGCTTGCATGTTCTTGAGCACCTGCACTAGCTCCAGCACCAGGGCTAGCTCTCGTGCCGGCTGAAGAACTCTGCAGGGTATTCGAGCAAGACGTTACAGCCGAGCGCGGTGGCCTCGATACAGTACACCACACCTCGCGTATGATGGTGTATGCTGGCATACGCGGACCCTGAGCTGCTGACTGTAACGTGGCCTTCGCCTCCGCCGTCTGCAATGACGAAATACAGGCTGCGGCGTCCGCTTTGCGCAAGCTGCACTCGCTGCAGGACTAGAACCACCTCGTGACCGTCCAGCAGTTCGAGCCTGTGCGCGCGCACAGGGCGGGGTTGTTGCAGCGGCCGCAATAGGAGCTGGCCGCAATCTACACATCGCCTCTGCCTGGTGCCCGGCTCGAGGCGACTCAGTTCTTGCGAATCAAAGAGAGCGACCGCGGTGGCATTGATGGCGCCCTCCTGCTTGGCTTGCACGCAATCGGACAGGTCCGCAGGCTGCTCCCGCAGAAGCGATGGCATTGAGCCGCGCGTTCCTCTGACGGGACGTTTTTGTGTTTTCATCGGACGGGTTCGAAGTGAATTTTTTTGAGCTTAGCCTTCGATGTTATGAAACAAACTAAATTTTTTTCCGGGTTGTTAAATTATTTTCGGTCACCTCGCCGCCCGGGACGGATTCCCGGCATTTTGCCGATTTGGCCTAAAATTTGGCTGATTTTGGGCCCAAACCAGCCTCAGACTCGGCTCAGCGCCCAAAATTTGACGATTTCCACGGAGTTTTCCCGGGAAAATAGAGAGGAAAAGAGAGGGTGTTGTAGAGAAAAAAAGGAAAGGAAAACAGACGGGGTGCGAGAGGCAAACCTGCTCTAGCCCAATATCACAGCCTTGTTATGAGAAGAAAATACGCCCTATGGCGCTATGCGCTGGTCTGTGAGAGGTTCCTTCACAGTTAGGGTGATAAGAAACAAGAACCCCGCATGCGACGACAGTGATGAGTGGAGCAGGATTTTCAGTGTATGTAGCTCTTACGAACATACCCGAGGGTGAACTGCTGACAGGGTTATTTTGGAAGGACGATCCACAGCCCAAAGGTCTCTCTGCCTCCCTCCTTCTTCCCTCCTCTTGGAGCACTTGCGACTTGGAGTGCAGTCATTAACCTCACATCCAGGGCCGGGGAGCTGAGGAGCGCACCCAGCGGGCCGGATGATCGGGATCGGGTTGCGGGCTAGAGAGCCCTAGCCCCGGGGGTGCGCGTTCGCAGGGAAGGGGCCTTAAAGTAAACACGGGTCTCCGAGGGTTAGTCCGCGCTCCAGGTTTCCCCTAGCAGCGGAGCGCCCCCTCTGCTCGGAGCTAATAAACATTAATTAAACACACGCACACGACGTACATCCTCACTCGACGTCACCCCTCGAGGCTTCTCCGTGCGGCCCCCCCCCCTCGGTCCGGAGGCCCTCTTATCCTCTCGGTCCTCCCCCATTCGCTTTCCGCTGGTTGGGCAGCGGATGTAGGTAGGTAGGTAGAAAGGTGAAGAACAGCCAGGCGGATAAACAAAAGAAAAAAATAAAATAAAAATAAAACGTTCATCAAAGCTGCGCCATCATCAAGGCCGAGCCGCGAGCGTTTTTCGTCAAGCCGGTCGCCTTCGCTCGCATTGCTGTCTGCCGTCCGATACCGATGAAGGCTCTCTTCGCGGGTGTGGTTGCTGCGTCACGCTTCGTGCCCTCGCCCTCGCGGGTGGCGCGGATTCGCAGCCAGATCAGCGACATCTTCCACGTCCCAGACGACTTCCCGGTTGCGAATTTCTACCATGTTGGGCTCGCGCTGTCCTTCCTCTGCCTGACCGAGTTTGCGTACGTCCAACCCATCCGCGAGCAGACAGAGCGCTCGGTGCGGCTGCAGAAGTGGGTAACCGAGAGCGACGAGCGGCGGCGAGTCGAGCGCAGGAAAGGACCTGCAGACGAATCTCTAAACTTTGAGCTGTTCTGCGATTAACTTTAGCGTGCTGGGAGCACAAGGGTGCACGCGCCAAACGCCCACGCAGCCGCACGGGCCGGGCCTCCTACCAGTGCCGGAGCATTGGATGGCACTGCGCCCGCCGCCGAGTCGCTAGCCCGCCGGTCTCTTCGATCCGTGGTGTACGTGTACGTGCGCCGCTCTGCGCGCTCCGCTCTGTGCGCCCCTTCCGCCCCCCTGCTGTGCCACGTTGTGCGTGTAAATTTGCGGCTGTTGTGTACGTGCGCTTGTGCGTTGAATGTCTTCGGCTGCGCGGGCTCTCTGTCTCTCGACTCTCGTATATTAGAGGTGTGTGGTCTGTGGACGCGTGTTATAACGTGAGACTGAGTTCCGTCAAGTGCGCTCGTGCGACAGCATTTTCGGCAAGTCGTTCGCTTCGAATTCTCTCTTTCTCCACTTTCATCTCTCTCTCTAGAGGGCTCTCTCTAACTAGAGTAACTCAGAGGCATGCCGCTCAGAGAGGGCTCTCTCTCTCCAGTCTCCACTCTCTCGGTTTCCGTCTCGCACGACTTAGAGCCACGGCTACTCTATGCCCGTACGTCGAGAGAGAGAGGGATGATAAGGCGAGAGGCGCGGACCCGGCAAGGTGGCCTTGCGGGAAAAGGAGTAGAGGCGCGTCGTGCGGCCACTGCTAGGCCGCTGCTAGCCGTAGTAGCTGTAACCGTGCGGCGGCGGCGCGGCGGGCAGCGGCGGCGCGGCGGGCGGATACGGCGCCCAAGGCGGGTAGGGCGGCGGGGGCGGCGAGACGAAGTGCGTGCGCGAGTTGAGCTCGCGCGAGAACTCGAGCCTGGGGGTTGGCAGCGGGCGGGGGGCGAGGCGGTGAAGCGCTGGCCGTCGGTGGGATGGAGGGCCGGGGTTGTGTGTTTTGGCGCGCGAGGGTGCAGCTGCAGCCGTCTCGCGAGGGTCTCGAGGGGCGGGCGAGGGGTCGCGCGTGCTGCGAGCTGCGCACGTGTAAAAGATGACGACGAAGATCGCGAGCAGGAGGGCGGCGAGCATCGACGCGTAGCAGCGAGGCATGCCTCCCAGCCGCACGTTGAGGGAGTGAAAGAGGTGCAGGCGCGCTCGGATGCGGGCCGCCGTCGCGCGCGGCGTCGTCAGAGAGCTCTCTCTCTTCTCTTCGATGCCGTCCAGGGACGCGCTGCGCAGTGCCTGCGGAGACCACCCGAGATGACAGCCGAACTTCTCCGAGATGACCCGAGGTCACACGCGCCAGAGACGGCCCGAGGGTAGACCCGAGCTTGAGAGGGGGGGAGGGGGGAGGGGGTGGGGGGGGGAGGGGGGTGGGGGGCTCGCCTGGCGTTTCCACGCGGACGAGACGGCGCCGAAGCCGGCGAGGGAGCGCGAGAGGCAAAAGGGGGCGAGGAGGGCGACCCCGCCGAGGGACGCGCTGAGCGTCACATAGATGAGCAGCAGCCACCGCGATCCGGTCGTGCCGCGGTACTCGTACGCCAGCCGGCCGAGCAAGCCGATGCAAGCGCAGCCGGCGGCGAAGCGTGCGGCGCCCCGTGGCGAGGCGGCGGCCTCGCGGACGTGGTACGAGGCGCAGGCGAGCAGCCGCCAGGCGGAGAAGAGGACGAGGACGACGAAGCAGCCGGTCGCGCCGGCGAGGGGCTCCTCGCGCCCGAGCTTGAGCACCTGTGATGGCATCACACCACTCACCCGTCTCCTCTCCTCCGATGGTGTCGAGAGAGACCTCCTCGCGGCAGAGAGCACCAGCCCGCAGAGCGCCGTCGTGACCAGCGCCACCGGCACGAGCGCGCGCGGCGAGTCGTTGACGTACGCGGTGATGGCGACCACGAGGCCGAGCAGGGCGAGCATCGCGACGACGACCGTGGCGCTCGAGGCGAGCAGCAGCAGCTCCGTCCCCTGGTGGATCTGCGGCATCATGTCCCACACTATCTCGTTCACCTACTCCCAAGCCCGCCGCCCTCTCGCAGCAAGAGGGCGAGAGGAGCACGACCCCGGGACTCGCGCGCCATCCCCGCCGCGCCGGTGCCCGTCGCGTTGGCGGCGTCGAGCTGCCCGTGTGCGCCGCCGTCCGCCCTCGCGTCGCGCCGGGCGGCGGCGGCGGCGGCGGCGGCGCGCTGCGCGTCGAGGGAAGAGAGGCTGGTCGCGCCTCCTCCACCGAAGCAGAGCACGTCTTGCACGGGGAAGACGGCGCCAACCTGCCGGGAGGGGCAGGGGCTCCGAGGGAGGCCTCCGAGGAGCCTCCGAGAAGGTTTCCGGGGTTGGCGCCGCCCACGGCTTTTTGCTCCGGAGGAGAAGGGCGGCGGCACGCCGAGCGAGCACAGCACGGGCAGTCTCTCGTCTCCTCCCGAATCGTCTAGGCTCACCTCGGCTCACCTCGGCTCATCTCGGCTCATCTCGGCTCATCTCGGCTCCTCTCGGCTCATCTCGGCTATATCTCACGTCGAGCGAGTCGAGCACAGTGCCGATGCCGGCCGAGTAGCCCCCGACGCCGAAGCTCGCGCCCTGCCGGGGGGGAGGGGGGGGGGGGGGGGAAGAGGCACGTCATGGATGGGACGTGCGGTGTGGGAGTGTCGTGGGCGAGACTGGCATCGTGAAGAGGGAGGTGTGAAGAGGGAGGTGTGAAGAGGGAGGTGTGGAAGAGGGAGGTGTGAAGAGGGAGGTGTGGAAGAGGGAGGTGTGAAGAGGGAGGTGTGAAGAGGGAGGTGTGAAGAGGGAGGTGTGAAGAGGGAGGTGTGAAGAGGGAGGTGTGAAGAGGGAGGTGTGAAGAGGGAGGTGTGAAGAGGGAGGTGTGAAGAGGGAGGTGTGAAGAGGGAGGTGTGAAGAGGGAGGTGTGAAGAGACGACCTGCATCGTGAAGAGGAACCGCCCCTTGCACGCCTGGACGGGCTGCGCGAGCCTGGAGGGGCGGGGGGGGGGCAGGTCGTGCGGGCGGGGCGGGGGGGGGGTGCCGTGTGGATCCGGCGGCCGGTGCGGTGCGGTCGCCTTGGCGGCTTCACAGTGTGGCGGCTTCACAGTGTGGCGGCTTCACAGTGTGGCGGCTTCACAGTGTGGCGGCTTCACAGTGTGGCGGCTTCACAGTGTGGCGGCTTCACAGTGTGGCGGCTTCACAGTGTGGCGGCTTCACAGTGTGGCGGCGGCCTGGCAGTATCTGCTCTGTGCCTTGTGCGTGTGTGTGTGCGTGTGCGTGTGTGTGT